GATGATGATGATGATGATGATAATGATAATAGTAGGAAAATAAAATTACAACCAAGGAAGATACATCCAAGTCACTCAACAGAACTAAAGCCCTGTCAGGATCTTTAAGGACAAAGATCTCTGCCTGGAGCTCTTACAGTCCAGAGAACAGAAAGTGGAAAGGGAAGGGCCGAAGGCAGACAAAGTCACAAGTGTTTAGTGTTCTGAGATGGTTTTGCTTGACAACCCAGCCTTCAAGGAGAGCTTTAGGTTCAGTCTCACCTCTGATGCGGCACAAGCACGTTGTTGATTCCCCCGAGCTTTGCGTTTATCTTCAGACACAGGTTGGACAGGGTCTGCGGGGAGGTCTTCACCACGTTCTTGACCTGCACGCACTGCGTGGCCATTCCCAGCAGGGTGTCCCCGACGCGCTTCACCTCGGCTGCGGCAGAAACACAACTCAGTGGCTCCAATGGCCTCACAGTCAGCAGCTCCATCTTAATATTTTTCAAGTGTTATTGCAATTCAGATCCTTAAATTTCACTGACAAAGGTTCAGTTCACTCTTTGGTAACAAATCCTCCAGTCAGGCCTGACAAACCCATCTCCAAAAACCCATTTTAAACAGAGCACGCTGCCTGCTCTGCCTCCTCCCCACCCCTGAAGTGCACAGGAAGATGCCCACTTGCCATACAACAGATTCACACTCTACAGCCTCCTGTCCCTACCATACACAGGCGTCTTCCCGGGCAGGATCACCACGATCAGCTGCAGCCCAACGTAGGTCAGTTTTAAGTGTTTAAACATGGGCTCCACGCTGTCTGCGCCCTGGGCATATTTGCAGAAACAGGGCTGGCCCTGGATGGGCATCCCCGCGTCCTTGGAGATCTTGCGCAGCTGGTCCGTGAAACTCCTGCAAAGGAAAGATAAAAACTGAGTCTTTAAGACACCGCAGAACTGTCATTTCCCCTCTGTGCTATTAATTTCATTAAAATCAACTTAAACTGCGTATCGCCTTTCAGAAACACGCAAAAAATAAACCTTGAAATAAGTATCCTGAGTAAGCAGGAGAATACTTACTTTAATAAGTCTTCCCTGCATTGTTTCTGAGGAGCAAAACAGGCAACGGCCCAAACTTTAATCTCAATGCCAGCATAGAACTGCTTCCCTCTCATGTCCCACACGCCTTGGTTTGGTGTGGCCACCGTCTTGTTCTAGGTAAAAACCAGAGGCAAATTAAAGATAAAAGCTGCTTTGTGTTGGCTGTGGCTGTAGAGTGCTTGTACACAGGGAGCCTTATGAGGGGATACGTGGAATTTAATGAATTTAAATAACCTCGGGCCAAGGTATTTTACAAGACTCACCCTGCCTCCGTACTGCAGCATCGGTGCTGGCAGAACCCTGCCCGTCAGCTCCGTCATTTCATTGTGGACAACGATGCCAAACTCCTTCAGGTACGGGTCGGGTCCCCCAACCATGCTGTTACTTTTCACCTGGCGACAAGAAAAGCATTTCTGTAACAACACCCAATGCTTCAGCTGGCTCTGTCTGTTCTAAATAGAAAGGTTGTTCTAAAGAAGTCAGATCTTTGAACTTCCGCAGTTCCTGGTCATTCTGCCTCTCATTGTGTGTGTGACAATGCTTTGGGAGAGCCATAAGAAGTGACCAACGCCGTGGGTCTGGCTGGAAAACCACTCACCAGCCTGCTGATCTCCTCCTGTCGGTCGGGCGCGGATCGGGCGGTTGCTTTTATCATGGTCGAGGTCTGATTGTCCGTCAGCTTCTTGATGCACCGCTGCCCTGCCACGATGTTGCACACCTGCATGGGAACAGCGAGGGGTGGCGCGCCAGCCTCCAACAGGGGTTGGACCGCAAGGCAGGAGACGGCCAGGCCCTTACCTCCAGCGGCAAGTACGTGTGTTTCTGTTCCTGCCCCACTTGCAGGCAGGGAAGGTGAGGGTATTTTAGCTGCAGACTGTACTTCTGCTTAAAATACTGAGCTACTGTGCACTCCATAGCCTGCCCATTTTCCAGCTGCAGAGGAAACCTATAAAGGACATTTGTTCTGGTTAGAATTTGCAAGATTTATTTTTTAAAGGAAAAAACGGGATGGAAAATCTATTCCAGACTAGAAATGCTTGAAACACTTATTTTCCTTAGCTAGCGGATCTCTTCTTTATGTCAGGGTTTTATATATAGATTATATACTGAATTCCTTATGGCTATTTTAAAAACCAGAGCCTTTGACAGCTGTATTTACAAGTCAGGATACAGCTTCAGTTTTCCTGCATCGAAGGAAATAAAGCAGTGGCCTAAACCCACACTGCTCCCCTGCTGCACCAAGATTGAACATTCTGGTCAAGCCACACAGCAGCTTCACCTCCAGCATCAGCTGTTCCTACATGAACGACACACCTGGCATATTTAATGGGTTCAAGACAGTTAAAATTGCCAGACAGCGCTTGTGTACGTACGTCTGATGACTGGCTGGTCGCCGGGTAACGTTGCAAACTCGGTATTTTCTCTTCATCTGGCCACAGTGGGTCACCTCTACTTTCAGACCTGAAAACCCAACACAAAAGTCACCCAAAATAAGTGCAGGCACGGGAGTCACCCCTGGGAGAGGCGAGGGCCAAAGGAGCAGCGCAGCTTCCCCAGCGCCTCGCGGATTTTCCAGACAATGTAACACGAGCGGGTCCCCGTATTTTGTTGCAGCAGCTTTAGAACAAGCCTTTACCTCTGATTTCTTTGGTAAACTTGACACGCTGGGAGTCTGTGAGAGGCTTGGTTTGCTCGTTGATGTTCTGAATGTCCAGGACCTCGCACATGAACTCGATGATGGGCTGGGCACGATAGAAAGCCGTTGCCGACACTAAGATAAAGACAAAGGACGTTTAATTTAGGAGCAGCGAGAAGCCTGTTACGTTGCTGAGACAGGATTTCCTACGCACCATCGATGTTGAGCATCATGTTCCACATGGCAGGCCTGACCGACTGGTGGAAACCAAACCAGACCTCCCTGCCACCTCCCAGGGGGTGGTAATAACCTTCAGGGGGGGAGAAGAAGGAGCGACCCACAGGAGTGTACCTGGGAAAAGTAAAATAAATTTTAAAAAAGGGAAAAATTGATACTTCAACCATTCCTTTCTGATACACCTTTTTACATTCGTGCCTATAGTGTTTAAAAGTACAGTGAATTTCTATGTTGGAGCTGTTAGAGCTCGCTTATGGCAGGCACATGAAGCCTTTCAGGAGGGCAGTTAGAAAGGCTATAGCCAATTCCAGTTAGAAACATGACCAGCAGCTCCAAGCCCTGAGTTCAGATCAGATTTCCCTATTCTAGTGCAAATTTGTAAGGCAAGCGTTGAGTTACACAACCGCATCCCTCATCACCTCGACCGCAGCACAGCAGCGAGCCAGAACTAACGCCAACATCGAGAGACACAGGACCGCGCAGCCGGGGAGGCTCCCCGAGCACCCACCGCATGGAGGGAAGGTGCCGGGTGATCACGTCCAGCGCCTGCACCGAATCCTCGGGGACTTCGTTCAGGTGCCCCGCCAGCGCCTCCAGCAGCAGCTGAAGGCTGACGACCGACACCCACTGAATGGAGACTTTAAAGGTCTGGTCCTTCCCCTCTCCTGGAAGCGTCACCTCCATATCCACCTGATAGGGACAGAATTCAACACGGGGTTTTGTTATGGCTTGCAGACCACCCCAACACTGAGCAGCGTCACGTTTCTCTCCTAAGTATCCTTTAAATCTGTATTTTTGACAATTAGCTTGTGTGATTCTCTTAAAATATTAGAGATGGCTTCCCTAGGATTTTGAAAGCTTGTAATTTATTCATCTGAGAAACTGCGCCGAGGTGTCTTTAAGTGTAAATTTTAAGCAGTAATTAGTGTGGTGACATCAAAGCTCCGGAGAGCTGTGAGTCATGTTTTAAATTCAAGATGTCTTGTGAACCCACCGGGAAGGCAAAAAAACTCCCTTTGGCTGAAAAAGCGACTCGCTGGGAAGCACAAAGCTCGGTTCCAGCGCCGTGCTTGGGGTTGTTCTCACACCCTGCCAGCCCAAAGCGGGGATGTGAACTCATCCTATGGCTCCGTACCAGCAATAACCACATCCCTGGGGACATGGGGTGAAGTTTCGGGACCGGTGAATACAAACAGTGATGTTAGGGCCAGGGTGCACAACCCAGAGCACGAGGGTGATCTGGTTGTTGACAGCACCGGTGCCACACGCTCTTATGAATAGGAGGACGCGTCTCAACGGCGCAGCCAAACCCAACCAGCACATTTGTCATCTACAACTGCTTTATCATTCAGCAACAGAACAGGGGTTGGGACAGAGGAAAGGGAAGTTTCTGTCAGGGTGGGAAATAAAAAACCTCCTTGCAACTGGAGGGGCACAGCACATCAGTGCACACCACCACTGACACCCTCCAACCGGAGAGATGGGACTGGAAACCCAAAACCAGACAAACTTCAGTAAAGCCCCTAGTAAGTTCTTGGAGATCCCTGACCAGCACTGCCTGTCGTTTCCAAGACTCTGACGAGGTGACAGTATCTTGGGTTTATGGCAGTAAAAGAACACTTTTCAATGACACCGTAACAGCTTTCCCACAGGAAAAACAGCTTCAAGCCGCCCCCAGTGACACTCACTCTGTCGCGGCCAATGGGCAGCGGGTGTGCAGTGTACATGTTCCGCTTCCCGTCGTAGCCAGGCTGCCGATCCCCAAATATCTGCATCTTGAAGTGCCTCACCATCGTATCCACCACCTCCCTGCAGAGGGATTCACCCCAGTTATGTTGGAGAACAGAAAACCCAGCAATGGTCTTACACAGTTAATAAGGTGAATATTAAGCCTATAACCCACTGAAACCTTAAGCAGCTGCAAACCACAGCACAGAGACACAGCGGCCTTTAGCAGACACACAATTAGCAATGTATGCTCTTCTCACACTGAGGGATATACCTTGGTTCTTTTTATCGAGCAGCCCGTACCTGTTGACTCTGCGGGGCCGTTTCTCTGGTTTGATATCCACGTCGTAGTGATAAACGTCGATCTTGGGGATCTGAACCTGGAAATGGTTGGCAAGGAGGCGGATGGGTTTCCCGACGGTCCCCAGGCCTGGGCGCCGCGGCGGCTGGAAGAGGCTGGTGGGGGGCCCTAGGGAGTCAAATGAAGAGCAGTGAGACGGACCCGGTCATTCTGGGAGGTTACTTCAGCTGATTTTGACAGGGCAGAAAGAAACCAACAGGCATCCCCAATTTATATCTGAAAATTCATACAATCAGTAGGGATATTTTTATTCTAAACTAAATTTAAAGCATATTTCCATATCGGATCTAAGCTCAAACAGTTTTGTCATTTCCTTTACCTCACAAGCACATCACTTTTGCAGGTAATGAAATGCTTTTCCCCTAGAGCACAACCTCAGCCAGTTTAAAATTCCAACACGAAGAAAGGAGAGAGGAAAAGTTTTGGTTTTCTTCTAAAAGGCAGGGTAAGGCAGAAAGCATAAGGGCAGGCAGAGACTCAGAGCAGATGTGGGGAAGAGCATCTGGACAAAAGTAAGAGCTTCAGAACAGCGCCAAGGAGGAAATTATTAGAGCTTGACAAAGGGCTCACACGCACGCCAGTCCCTGGTTAAGTCTGTAGTTAACTTCCTCAAAGTGTTACGATCTGAGATACCACGTTAACAAGATCAGACAGACTTTTATTAAAAAATCTATCACAGATTTTGCACATAAAGCAAACCAAACGAGGGTATTTTCATGGGTTTTGTCTCTCTCTGCCAGTGATCAAAGTTTCCTCCCTCTGCTGCAGAGTGGCAAAGGAGGGGATGGGGGGTGAAGTATCACAACACAGGAATGCAACAATAAAGCAATCCTAAAACTTTTTAGCATCATAGGACCGTGTCAAGCTGCTGCAGACTCGCGGTTGACACCAGGAGGGAAGAGGCAGATGAGCTGTGGGAGGACAAAACTCCCGTGTGGGTACACGTCAGGGTGCAGCCACAAACTTCAACACAGCCCTAAACCGAACCCAGGACCAAACCCAAGGAACCTTTGGGTTTACAAACCACCCAGGGCTGCTACATCACGGGTTAACGTTGCCAACGTGGGGACACCAACCCCAGAGCATTTTGAAGCAGAGGTAACACTGGAGCACGTGAGCAGCCGGAGCCCGCTCCACGCAGCAGAGGGTGGCTGCTGGTGACACCCCAACACCCCACATCTCGCTGGGCAATCGTGCCCCGTCCTGGAGGAGCTCACAATGCCGCAGTGACCCCGGCTGCGGGGACAGTGACAGCGGCTGCGGGGACAGTTATCACTACTTTAAAAAACTACGGCTGTCCGGAGGAGCGTGAATCATCAAGGGCAATCAAAGTTTGCGGTGCTTATTTGGATACTGGAGAGATGATCCATTAATCCCGTGCTAATTAGTCTGAAGTAAGTGCAGGCACTGACCTCCTGCGAGAGATTAAATGACAACTATATTTACCCATTTTCCTGCCTCAGTATTGACAAGTTCCGTGAACAGCCATGGCAACGCTGACCTCCGTCAGTTTTGATCAAGGGAGATAAAACTTTTACCTTCTCCTTTCTGAAGTTATTTCTCAAAGGATTCAGGGTTTTTACCCGATCAGCCTGACCAGGGTTACGTGTGCTGCTGCTCTTTGAATTTCTTCCACTCCGTGTCAGTGATGTTCTGAGCACCCTCAACCAAGTTGCTTCAGACAGGAAGCAGTTTCACAAAGCTAAAAGAGGATCCGCTTTTACGGTTGGGAGCCCCAGAATTCACACTACATCGTATACACACACGTACAGCAGACTCTGTGAGTCAACCTTCCACTGTCTTAAAATCTGGATTATTTTGGAATTGTACCTTTATGTCAACACGCATTTCCTATTGGGAAATTCCTATGCATTCCTATCAAATTAACACTACTTTCATTATACCAATAGTTTGGTTGGGAACGTGATGGGTGAGACGGGCAGGCCACTTAGGTCAAGAAATACATTGCAGACATTCGATATAAGAATAATCATGGAACAAGACACAAGTAGGAAAATGCCACGCGCAAAATACCACCGATGTTTAACCAAAGTTTGTTAAAAGCTTAAAAGCAACGTCTGTATTTTAAGAAAGGATCACCTTAAACTCTCAATAAGGGCTCAATGTCAGAAATAACTCTTATTGCTGTACAGCCTGCGGGACTCGGGTGCAGTCGGGGACTCGGCACACACACACACAGCCCCACGCGTGTCTCCGTGTCCCGGCCACCACGGAGCCCCTCGCCGGCCCCAGCCCGGTCCCGTCGGCGCTGGGGAGGCCAGGTCACC